ACATTGTGTTCAAATGACATTTATATATCTCTTTTTAAGGAGATGTTACAGGATCGAATCCTGAAGGTGAAGTATTATTGACTCTTTGAGCTGCAACATATAGAGAAATGGATGGGGTTCACGCCACTTTCATCAAATATTCAAATGTGATCTGATCGACCACCTAATTAAAAACAGAAAATGTGACTACATGCAAGATATAATGTCAATCTTAATTGTCTTTGGAACATTTCCAATAACGTTATACGGGAGCATACATGAACTGTATAAATGAATTTATTTATCATTATATAATTAAATATAAGAACGTACAATATAGGCCGGCGAGCCTGTCGTCTGTCGTCTGACAAGAGGGAACATCTATGGATGGTTTTGGATCATTGTTCTTACTACTTGCTGCGGGAGTTTATGTTTGATCACTTTGTGATATAGGAGCTTAATTATGTTTTGGAGTTAATTATCGAAATGGCCCCTTGACTATAACGAAATTACTAATTTGGTCTTTCACTATTTTTTTTAACTAATTAAGTCTCTCAATTTTAAAAATATTAACCAATTTGGTCCTCCATTTGTTTGACCGTTAGTCAACCGTTAACTTGGGAGGTTCGCTATAGTCAAGGGATCATTTTGGTAATTAACATTAGGGGTGGGCAATTCGGTTTAATTTTCTCGAACCGAACCATACCAAACCGAACCGAACTAGTTTGGTTCAGTAATATACCGAACAGTATTGGATTCTTTATACCGAACGGTTCGATAAAAAACCAATCCGAATTGTTCGGTAAAAAATTGAACTGAACCGAATATCGTTTGATTTTTTTTTTTTTAAAAAAAATTATAATAATAATAATAAATAAATAAATAAAAAGTAAATCCAAGTCTCTTGTTGCTTGCTCTGCCGTTCAACTCATATTCTCACAGGTATCTCTTGTAAATGTTTTATTTGGTTTCTTTATGGTTTGTTATCAAAATTCTATATTATGTGTTATGGTGTTTACATAGTCCATATCCAAAGTCTAATATATAATAAAATAGCAATTCAAAGTTCAAACGGTATTCGGTCCGTTCGGTTTTTACCGAACAATTCAGTTCGGTTCGAGTTTTTAGCAAACCGTTCGATATACAAGAATCTATTATCGTTCGGTTATTCAGTATATTACCGAATCTAACTAGTTTGGTATGGTTCGGTTCGAGAAATCTGAACCGAATTGCCCACCGTTAAAGTTAATTACAAAAATGGTCCCTTGACTATAGCGAATTACCAATTTGGTCCCAAGTTAACGGTTGACTAACAGTCAAACAAACAGAGGACCAAATAGGTTAAGATTTTTAAAGTTAAGGGACTTATTTGGTCAAAAAAATAGTCAATGACCAAATTAATAATTTCGCTATTGTCAAGGGACCATTTCGGTAATTAACTCTTATGTTTTGCTACTTTCTACTTTGATATGGTAGTTTGAGTAGAGCCTCTCTATAAAATTTTATCTCTTTGCTTTACAGGGAAGTCTTTATCACTATCCTAAGATATGTTTTCGTGAAGTCACCTTGTGATCTTAGGTGGCAGTAAAATTTCATATCTATTACATATATATTTTACCTAGTATTCCCAAAAATAAAATTCAAATATTATTTTCCAACATCTAAATTTTCGCGACTATCCAAAAAAATAATAATTATTATAATAATAAAATCAAAACAAAAAACTCATTATGATGAAAGGAAAATGAATTATCCAAAATTTTTACTTTGTAAATTTCACTCTCACGCTCAATAGACTCTTTCCCAATCTCTAAAAGTGCAGTGGTTATATTATAGACCGCGGTGCATGTGCACCGCGGTCAAAAACGGCGCCGTTTCTTTAAGTAAAGAAACGGTCTGCCGTTAGAGTTAACGGAGTCCGCTTGTTTGGTGTATTAAACACCAACTGACACTATAGTATATCTAAACCGACACTGCAGTTATATCAAAATGATACTGTAGTTATAGTGAAATGAAACTGCAGTGTATATAAAATGAAACTGAATAACATTTCACATATTTGAGTGTATATTGTACAATGAAGCTGTAATTATATCAAAATGATCACGTAGTTGTGTTTTAATGAAACTATAGTGTATATAAAATAAAATTAAATAACATTTTCACATATTTGAGTCTATAAATATCGAATGAAACTATAGTTATATCGAAATGAAACTGTAGTTGTATTTAACTGAAACTGCAGTGTATACAAAATAACACTGAATAACAGAGTTACTTTTTGCAAAAGGATGCGAAACGGCAAAAACAAACACTATTTATTTTCATTTAAAAAAAAAAAGACGTGCGGTGCATAATATAATTTGCCCTAAAAGTGGTGTCAAATTCAACCCACAATATACTCAGTTAGTATTTGATCATGAATTGGATCGGACCAAGTTAGCCCAGATAAAATTCATGTTAGATTGAACCAAATCAAATACTTTTATTTTAAAAAAAAAAATTAATAATAATAATAATCGTCGAAACGAACACACAAACCCCCCAAAAAAAAAATTAATAATTCTTTGTTATTTAATTTTTTTCGTTCAAAATTATTATATTAATCTATTTCTATATTTATTTTTAATATAATAAGTTACAATATAAAAATTATTTATTTACTTCTTTCGTATTATAGCTGTTCTTAACTTTTATGACGAATTTACTATATAATTTTTAATTTATAAGTTTATTTTAATAAAAATAATATTTTAACAAGGAATAGTAAATGACCAGCACAGCACGCCCTATCTGGTTTATTGGTTAATTCATAGAATCATAGATAGATATAAGTCGTGGAGTCAATATGGAAATATACTTATACTAAAAAATATAATACTATATTGAGAAATAATGTAATACTTTTAAACAATATTACACATACATACGCGCGTGTACACACACACACACACAGACACATATTTCTCTCTCTCTCTCTCTCTCTCTCTATATATATATATATATATATATATATATATATATATATATATATATGGAAGGGATCAGGTGCATTTGTGGCTTCCCGTGCGGTTGTGCGGTTGATTAATGTGCGTGAGTTTTATACTTAATGTGCGTGAGTCTTGTGCTTAATGTGCCTGAGATTTGTACTTAATGTGCGTGAGTGTGTAATGTTAATGTGCGTAAGTTTTGTACTTAATGCCCCTGAGTATTGTGCTTAATGTGCGAGAGGTTTGTGCTTAATGTGCGTGATTTTTAACGCAATCGCACAGGAAGCTATAAACAAAATACATTCAGACCACAACCTCACACACATTAAACACAAAGGTCAGACGAAGACGGAGACGTATATGATGAAGAACAGAGAGAGGGGAAGAGAGGATTAAGGGAATAGGAAGAGAAGACGAAGACGTATATGAAGAAGAAGAGAGAGAGAGAGAGGAAGAGAGGATTAAGGGAAAAGAGAGGAAGAGAAGACGAAGACGTATATGTACAGGAGCACATTAACATTACACACTCACGCACATTAAGTACAAATCTCAGACACATTAAATACAAGACTCAAGCACATTAAGTACAAAACTCACGCACATTAACATTACACACTCACGCACATTAAGTATAAAACTCAGGCATAATAAGCACAAGACTCACACACATTAAGTACAAAGCTCACGCACATTAATCAACCACACGGAAAGCACCCAACCGCACTGGAACCTTTCACTATATATATATATATATATATATATATATATACACCATTACAAGTAATTAAAGAATACATTAAGAACCTCACCAAAAAAAAAAAAGATTATATACATTAAGAAAACGTAAAATAAGGGATATATATATATATATATATATATATCCCTTATTTTACGTTTTCTTAATGTATATAATCTTTTTTTTTTTTTGGTGAGGTTCTTAATGTATTCTTTATTAAGAACCTTATATATATATATATATATATATATATATATATATATCCCTTATTTTACGTTTTCTTAATGTATATAATCTTTTTTTTTTTTTTTTGGTGAGGTTCTTAATGTATTCTTTAATTACTTGTAATGGTGTCACTTGTCTTCTTTATTTACGTAAAAATTTAAATAATTCCAAGTTTAGAGTTAAGCAATTAATTAAACAAATCCTCATACATATATAATATTACGGAATACTTATTAGTTGCTGGATCCTTATATATATTCTTTTATTTTTTGTAATAGATTTTATTCATATAAAAAAAATTAAACTATAAACAAAAAGATAATTTTTTTTTCAGTTTTTTGTCAAACACCATAAAATAAAAATATTTTTTAAAAAAACGACTATGCTCCAAAAAATCATATTTCAAAAAATATTTTAAAATTTTCAAACAAACCATTAAAGTGTGATATTGATCCCATAATACAATTGTAGGAAATGGAAAAATTGGGTAACTGTTACTTCGCTTGATCTTTTAAATTCTCTGATTTTCAAATTCTTAAATCTAAATCCTTTCATTCCCAAAAAAAAAAACAAAAAAAAAAAACAAAAAAACAAAAAAACAAAACAAAACAAAACAAAAAAAAAACAAATAAAATTACTGTTAAAATCACGCGCTAATATTTAATTATCAAAATAAAACCTCTCAACTTAGTTTGGATTAATTAAACTGTGCCGAAGTGGGTACCTAATATAGTAATATATCACCTATAACTTGTTGGTTCCATGTGTTAAAAAAAAAAAAAAAAAATTGGGAGGAAGACTAACAATAATTCAGTCAAATTTCAGTTTAACTGTATTGGCAGAATAGTATTGACATGTCCGCACGAACTTAGTTTACTGATTCAATGGGTAATATTTGAGATAAGAGATCAATATTTGAAACATGACTGCAATAGTGTGAGATTATACCTAAAGTGGACAAAGTAGACAAATCCTCACCATTAAGTTACCATGATCTATATCATTTCATATGATCGGCTGGATTGGAGTGTGGAGGGCCCTTAGAGTTGGGAGAAGAATAGTACTAACTAGAGCATTATTATTGAGTACAACATTATTCTTATCCTTAACAATACTTGCTACACTTATATTAGCTAAAACATTATCATATATATTGTTTAATATTCTAACAACTGCATGTACAAGAACCAAATTAAAGCAGCATATATCTGATCTGTGGTTGAACCCGGCCGGCCAGCAGAATAAATTAAATTAATTAAGCAGCGGCCATGGATGATGAAGTCAAGAGCTCCTCTAAAAGCTCAGTTCCCAAGTCCTCAAAAACCAGAACTGAACCATTCTCATCGTCATCATTTTTCTTCTTCTTCTTCTTCTTCCTCTGAAGTTTTCTTCTCCTCATCGTCATTTTGTTCGTCGCCTTGAGCGTGGCCGCCGGAGACGAACCCTCCTCGCACCAGTACTCCATGTTGTCCAGCGACTCCTGCACTTTCTCCGTCGGAAAGTTGAGGAACGCCGACTTCCCGCGCATCGATAGCGCCGCTTGATCGTACGCCAACGCCGCCTCTTCCGCGGTGTCGAATGTCCCCAGCCAAACTCGCGCTCCGTTCCGGGTTGAATCCCTTATCTCCGCCGCGTATCTCCCCCACGGCCGCTTCCTCACCCCTCTGTAACGCTTTTCAACTCTCAACTTGTTATCGTCTGATGAGAACTCCATTGCTGATGATCGAGAGAGCTGAGGGGCTTCAATCGCATCTTGAATAATTGATAATTGCTTGTTTGTTTGTTTATATCCCCATGAATTATTAAGAAGAATTTGAAAATTCTGGGACACTTGAAATGGGAGGTAGCATGAGCTTTGAATTTTTCCAAGTTTTGAGAGAGACAGATAGGGATTTGATTATGAAAGACGGGAAGATTGAAGGCTTGTACAAAGGAAGCTGTCAAGTCAAGTCTTGTTGATAAAGTATGCTTTATAGTATGAGCTGTGAAAGCCTGAAAGGGACTACAAGAATTAAATAACAAATACTAAGAAAATTTCATTCATCTAAGAATTGTATGTATGTTTCCTTCTAAATTTACTTTTTAGAATGAATTTTGCCTTGTGTGCATGGTAAATGAATTTTTGGTATAACTTTGGACTTCATGTCAATAGCTTATATTGGGAGCGTTATGTTGTGCAACTGTGTGTACCATGTAAGGTGCACATGTAATTTGATTCATAATTTCTATATTATAGATCTATAATTTCTATTAGCTAGGGAAAAGAGTCAAATAGGCCTCGAACTTTGGCTTAAAAGTCAATTAGACCCCTAAACTTTTTAAAGGTGCAATTACACCCATCAACAAATCATTTAGGTGCAACGAAGCCCAAAAACAAGTTAGTGACCTACTATCACAGGTCATTAGGGTTCAGGCCACCTTCTGACGAATTTTCCGGCAAAAAAAAAAAGTGACCAGTGAAATTTCCGACAAAAAAGTGTTCGGCGACCGACGAAATTTCCGATCACTTTTTTTGCCGAAAATTTCGTCGGTCACTTTTTTTTGTCAGCAAATTCACTGGAAGGTGGCCTGAACCCTAATGACATGTGATAGCAGGTCATTAACTTGTTTTTGGGCTTCATTGCACCTAAATGAATTGTTGATGGGTGTAATTGCACCTTTAAAAAGTTTAGGGCCCTAATTGACTTTTAAGCCAAAGTTCGAGGGTCTATTTGGCTCTTTTCCCTTTCTATTATTGGTTTTCACAATCCGATGGCTGCTCGGCAGGCCAACACTATCGAATAATGGAATAATGTTTATGCGAGATAGTGAAAATAAAGGTGAAGTAATAAAGATAGAATAATGTGATATTATTTCTCTAGGGTTTGACCCTCAAAAGCGTACACCTCCTACACGATGATCCCAGGGGGATATTTATTCATAAATGTAGGTTTCATACATGGTAAGTAGGGCTAGCGTGTAGCCCAGCCTAAACGGGGATAGGGTTGACGTGCTGTCAACTTACTGCATTTTCCGCACAAACTAATTAAGGAAGCTGCCTAATGAGCGAAGATCAATTCCGTAGAATCCGCTGAACGCGTTTCTGGTGTGTGGCCGGTCGGGAATGGTCCCGTCTGTACAGCTTGGTCGCTCGACCAGGTCCCGGAAAGACATACAATTAGGGACGCACCGCCCACGCGGCCTGGTCGCCCGCCCGAACCCCATGGGTGTTCGGTCGGGGAACCATGGTGCATCCGAGAGCTCGCCCGGGGACACGCCGGCTAGCGGGCTGGCCGCTTTAAGAGTGCTTGACAGCTATTGTGAGGCGCCTCGCATCGTGGCTAAGGGGTCCCTAGTGACCCTCCTTTTATTAAATAATGAGCCATCCCCTGTCTGGCTGCCTTGTCTTATTGTCTGACCTCTAATCCAGACGGTCAATTTGGGGTATCTATCATCTATATTATAGATTCATAATTTCTATACTGTATATTCATAATTTCTATACTATAGATTCATAATTTATATACTACAGATTCATAATTTCTAAACTGTATAGTTATCAAATTATGAACATATAGTTTCAACAATTGGGAATATGAACATTGAAAATTATGAACATATAGTTTTATAATTGTGAATATAGAGTTCAGTAATTATAAATCTATAATATAAAAATTATGAATCCAATTCCGTGTGCAGCATGCAGTTGCACAGCATAATTTGCCCTTATATAGATATTTGATAAAGAGTAAGTTCTTTTACATATATTTTCAAATTCTACTAATCTTAAAACAGAAAACAAAAAATAAAAGATATTTTCGTGTCATAATTTTAGATGGTGATAGAAGTAGAATATTGGAAAAATTTTGAAGTGAGAAAAATAGTTGGTAAGAAATTTAAGACGGCAATTCTGCTTCCCTATAAATTAAATTTGGAGACATTGAAAGGAAAAAGTAGCAAACTCATTATTGCATGATTATACTACAAATATTCTTATCCAGTTAATACCCAAAATCGTCCTGACTATAGTGATTTTTCTCAATTTCGTCCTAAACGACTTTGGTGACCTAATATCGTTCCAGACTTTTATGTTTCGCTCAATTTCGTCCCATACTTTTGTGTTTTTGCTCAATTTAGTCCCTCATTTGTTATTCTATCCATTTGGTGTTAAATAAATAGACAATTAAGTAATTTTAATATTGGCATCTCTTTACTCATAGACATGTGAACTGCGAAATCCCTTTTTTTTTTACGAATTAGTCTCAGAATTACTCCTAAAACTGCAAATATAAAATTTGATTTGCAGGTCCGAGAGTAATTCTGGGTGTAATTCGTACAAGAAAGAGGAATTTCGCACTTCACAAGTTGAAAGTAAAGAGAGATCAATATTGACATTACTGAATTGTCCCTAAATTTAACACCAATTTGACGGAATAACAAATGGAGGACTAAATTGAGCGAAACACAAAAGTCTGGGACGATACTAGGTCACCAAAGTCGTTTAGGACGAAATTGAGAAAAACCACTATAGTCGAGGACAATTTTGGGTATTAACTCTATTCTTATTTTAAGCTTTATTATTATGTGATGTGTTAATTGATTATTAATTTGTTTTCAAAAAAAAAAAATTGATTATTAATTTTAGAAATGATTCTTTTTTTTTTTTATTTGGTTTTATGTTGGATGAAATTAATTTAACAAAATCTGAACGGATCTTATTCGATGACAACTCTTTTAAAGATGTTGTAGACATATAAGTTTGAACTTTTGACTTTATGCTTTTCAACTCTAGTCATTTTTATTTGCCTTTTATCCAAGTACTAGTTACCACATGGGCGTAGCGTGAACAGTCCAATGTGCAATGTGTATTTTTTAAATTAGTGTTTCAGAATTTATCAAAGTATCATTCGGTATCCTAGCGTATATCAATGCAAGATTATTAAATTTTTCATAAAAGTAAATATTTCAAGAATGCATAACTATGACTTGTGGCATAATTTTTCATTAAATTAATTGGTGCAATAATAATTTTAGATGAAAATACTCTCACTGGATAGTACCCAAGCATAATTTTTACAACAAAAACCCTATTAATTGGTGTGATTCATGCTTTCTCTTGTTGTCACTTCCACCAGAAATGACTCATTGATTTCTGTGGTTATAATTGGAGTGTTTGGTGAATAGTGAAAGTGTTTCACCCAATTAAAACAAATTACGTGGTGGGAGTAATCGGAGTGTTGAGCAAATAGCAAAAGCTCGTAATGGATTGTCTTAGTTAATAGTTAATATATAGTAGATTGTGTTAACTGTTTTGATCAACAGATAATATTTTTCATTTGAGAAAAAATATTGTTTAGTAAGTTAGTTGTTTGTTAATAATAATAATAATAACAACAACAATAACTACTACTACTACTACAACAACAACAACAATAATAACAACAATAAAGAACCTCTTCCTTTCAAAAAAAAAATAAGGAACCTCTTCCTTTCAAAAAAAAAATAATAATAATAATAAGGAAGCTCTCGTTTTTTTTTTTTAAAAAAAAATTATTTAAATAAGTCATCAACGAATCAAATATAATGAATTCACAAAATAAATCAATCATGTAAACTCAAAAATCGAATACTTGAACACATTACAAATACATTGTTTACAATGTAGCATTTATTTTATACTTTCTTAAATTTTTTCAGCCCAAAAACTCCACCACTAGGATTTGATCTTGTAATCACCTATTTAAAATGATAACAGAAGTGTTGTCACATTACATAGTAGTTAGCAGCTTGTATAAGAATAATACAAAACTTTTGTTTATATATAATGAAAAAAAAAGAAAATAGATATGAAAACAATTACATAAATGTTTGGATAAGAATAAGTTATTAATCATGCAAACATTGCAATCCTAAAACGTTAATTAATTTGATGAGGTGTCGCACGTGCTCGATATTCTGTCAATTTAATTCATTCAGTTGTCCGCATGTCTTGACTTCTTTTCTTTTACGCTGATTTTGACCCATTTGCTACGGAGAGATTACTTAATTACACTAATAAAATATTAAAATCAGATAAATTAAAGGAAAAAATAGGTTAACTTGTTAAAAGGAAAATGCTTTTTACCTTCTTAATTTTTTTCTTTCTAAATTGGGAAAATGGCACTTTTCCCCCCTAAGTTATATACTTATAGTATTTTTTTCCCCTGAATTATTTAAGTGGCTCTTTTTCCCCCTGAAATGTTAAATGGACATATTTACCCTTAAAATAAATATTTCATTTATTTTTTTTCTCTAACAAATTATTACTATAATTTGGTTTAAACCAAAGAGATACTATAGCAACCAAACCAAAATATTCCAATTACAATTTAGAATCAAACGCGATATTTAGAGTTTATTAAAATCGCGAGCCGGAATGACCAGTTCATGTTCCGAACTGAAAAAATAAAATACATTTTTTGTTGAATTTAGACTATTTTAAAATAAAAATAAAATTTTAAAATAAAGACGGTTCAAAATCGCGAACCGGATCCGGAACCACCGGTTCACGGTTCAGGGTCCAGTTTTTTTGATTCATAAATTTAATAAATAGAAATCCAAATATTGGGTTTTAGATCTGAATCATAACCGAAAACTTTTAATTCGATTACTATAGTGTCCGGTTCAGTTCGAACCAAACCGTGGTCATCGCTACATATACACAATAATTTGTTGGAGAAGTAAAATAAATAAAATGTTTACTTTAAGGGTAGAAATGTCAATTTAATATATCAGGGGGAAAAATCACCACTTTTAAAATAATTGAGGGGGGTAATGTGCTTACATAAATAATTGAGGGGGAAAAAGTGCTATAAGTATATAACTTAGGGGGAAAAAGTGTCATTTTCCCTTCTAAATTCTTGATATATTTTATAATCATTAAGTGTCATAAATTGACTAACTCTACTAAATTTCCCTGGGACTAACTCTACTAATTTTAGTGAAAAAGTAAATCAAATAATCAAATAATGTCATATTATGATGAAAATT